GCCAAGTTGCTCTTAAGAGCTCTGGTTTCAGAGAATGTGATCCCCAGGGTGTATCTAGGCTCCAGTTTCTAGGGGGCCTGGGGAGCAGGGTGGCAGTGGCTGAGCTAGCCTCATGAGTTTGGCTATGTGATGAAGGGCTCTGGGCCAATTGCCTGGAATTTGCTAAGGGGCAAACCCTGAGCCCAGATCATAGCCCTAGGTTGCCCCTGGACTTGGAGGCCTCTTTGCTCTGCCTCCTTGAGTCTCTTTTGCGGGTCCTAGGCTTGCTGTGTGGGTTCTAGGATGCCCCCAGCTAGGTAAACGCACAGAGCTCTGGGGCCTGGAGTCAAAGTCTCCAAGTAGGGCAGTCCTGGAAATCTTCTTGCTGTTTGCAGGATGGGGCAAGCGTTTGGGCATCCTGGGAGGTTCCCCTAATTTCCCCTGGCTGAGAGAGGCAATGAGACATAGCATAAGTCCAGGATTTGCAATCAGATGGATTGGGTTTGAATCCTGGCTTAGCCCTTACCAGCTGTGTGCCCTGGAAGGGATTCAAGCTACATTCTTTGAGTCCCTTTTCTCATCTGTAAAGCAGGGGAAGATAGTACCCGCTTGACAAGACTGTAGTGAAAAGTAAATGAGATAAATTGAAGATGGGCAGAAAATGATAATCTTCAGTATTGTGTGGAAGAGGACTGAGACGAGAGAGGGGCAAGTTGCACAGACTCCTTCCTCCAGCACGCATACAAACACACGTGCGCGTGCACCCCCCTTTCTTGCAGTTGCAGCTATAAGGAACCTACTGCAATGAATGTAAGATCATATCATTCCTCTGCTCAAAGCCCCCTAGTGATCCCTCAGCAAAGGTCAAGTCAAAGCCTTCCTAAAGGCCACACGTAGGTCTTCGGTAGTCCTGGCACCCCCTCCGCACCTCCTCTCTCTGCCATGCTCCCGTGCTGCCCGGGCTCCTTGCCCCCCGGGACACCCAGCATGCTCCTGCCCCTGGGTCTCAGCACTGCCACCCCGTCCTGGAACACCTTTCCCTCACATCTGTCTGCATGGCTCGCTCCTTCTCCTCCTCCTCCTGTCTTTGCTCCAGTGCCACCTTGTCCCCGAGGACTCCCAGCCACCCCGTTTTCTACAGAGTGCTCTGTCCTCCTCTCCCCTCCTGCTTTATGTCCTCCATGGTCTGGTCATTGCCTGACACACTGGGAAATGCCTTTTGTTGCTTATCTCCACTCACAGGAATGTAAGTCCCACAAGGGCAAGGTGTTTTTTGGGAGGGCGTCTGTCTATTAATATGTTCACATTCATAGTCATCTCCAGCACCTAAGCATGTGAGTAAGGACATGATGTTTGTTGAATGAATACCTGAGGACTGGAATTCTGAGGGTGCAGGTGAGAGGAGTGGGGGACAGCAGGAAGGATATTGTCAGTTTCTTTTTTTTGCCAAATGAGGGAGTTGGACGAGGTGCCCAGGAGACCATGAAGCCATTGGAACTGTGTGCCTCCCTGGGTGAGCTCCTGCCTGCCTGCATCTTTCTGGAATGAGGGTCCCAACTTCCCGCAGACATTGAACAGAGCCTGTGGTGTCTCAGGGGAGCTAAGCACCCTCCCTGCTCTGACATTTCAGGGCTGGCTCTAATAGGCTCAAATCCTTGCTTTCTAAAGACCTGTGATGCTAAAACATTCCACGATCTTATTCAAGTTCCAGCAGCCACCCTGGCCCTGGCCCCAAATTGGGTAGTGGGAACCAGAGGGGACCTTGGCAGGGTCAGTGTGGTAAGGGTAGGGGAGGGTCTCTGGGGACATGGGACAGAAGACAAAGTAGATTTCTATATTACCTGTGCTGTTTCCTTCCTTTTACTAAAAGAAAATGGATTTAAAGCAAGTACGACCAAATGCATGCAATTGTCAACGCTGGATATTGGGTACAGTGGTGTTTATCACAGAGAGCTTTGTACTTTTCTGTATGTCAAAAAGGTCTTTAAAAAAATACAGACTTGGAGGCAGGCAGGACAGTTATAGGTTATGGTTAGGAAGGGAGAGGCCGTTTCTGGGGACCAGAGGGACCTGGACTTTTCAGGCATTTTCCCTGTGTGTGGATGGGCAGAGGGGACGGCTGGAGCCTGGACCCATTCCTAGAGCTATCAGAACCCCCCCTCTTCCCCCCACCCCCAGATCTCAGTTTCTTGCCTTCCTGAGGAGTGGGGAAAGGCTGAGAGGCCCCGTGCTGGGGACGAAGCTAATTCATTAGTGACGCCTCAACAAGGACCGGGTACCCGCAGTGCCAGCGTGATTCATCAACATGATTGCCCGCTGCCAGCCTGCGTGGGCCCAAAACGCCAGCACATTTTACCTGTACCCACTGAGAAGGACCCGGAGGGAGGCGAAGGTACAGCATCTACCCAGAGCAAGAAAAAGCCTCGGAGAAAGAAGAGGGCTGGTCCCCTGTGCCCTTGACCCCAGGAAGCTCTGCCAGGCTGGCGCCGGAGTTGCAGGGGCGCCTGAGGCCCCTGGGGGCCCAGGCAGAGCCTGAGAGGGCTGCCTCATGCCGGAGTGCCAGCTCTGAGCATGTGGTGGGGGGGGGGGACGCTGGCTGGGCTTCCTCCTCCACAGCGAATGTTCCCTCGGGAAACTGCTTGAGGGGCAGCAGGGGGTGGGGGCGGGAGAGGTGCTCATCCTCTCCATCATTCTGGCTGGGTTTCCCTCAGCTTTCTGGTCTCTGGTTTCCCTTATTCCAAGTTGTTCTCCCAAATAAGTAAGGGAGAGAGCATCGGATTGGGGCTCAGTGAGGTATGGAAGGAGACTGAAGCCCCTCTGGCCAGGGCTCAGGTCCTCCTATACCCCAGGTCTGGTGTCTAGGCTCCACTTGCTCTCTGCCTGGGTCCCCCACCTGAAGTCCTGTCTGCATCTCGTCAGCCTCCATCCCAAGACAGGGGTCTGGGGCCGGCTTCCGGCTCAGAGCAATACCTGCCTCTGTGTCCCCCATTCCCCCATGACATCCCTTGCCCAGTGACAACTGCTATTGCTCCTTTATCTCACACATATATATGGTGTGTCTAAGCAAAAGGAGCCAGGAGGAAAAAAAAAAAAGTACATACAGAATAATTTCCTTTATATGAAATTCAATAACAGGCAAAAGTGATCCATGGTGATAGAGGTCAGTCAAGGTCATGGTTGCCCCTCGGAGGTGGAAATTGACTGGAAGAGGCACGAGGGAATCGGAGTGATGGAAATACTACATGGGTGTTCACGCTTGTCAAAACTCAAACTGCATGCTTTTGTGATCTGTGCATTTCACTGTATGTAAAGTTTGCCTCTATTTTTTAAAAATGTTAAATACTTTCATTGAATGCCTACAACGTGCCAGACCCTGGGCCAGCAGGGGAGACAATCTCGCCTGCGCTGTGGAGCTTCTGTGACGGGGAGTGTGGTTCTTATCCTGACCGCGCACTGGCTGAGGCCCTCTGCCTGCAGAGGGGCCGGGAGTGGGCGCGGCCAGAGGGCAGGGTGCTGCTCCCAGGACTGTGACTCTCAGGAGGAGGAGGCAAGTGCCTAATCCCTCTGGGGTAACTTTCCTTCTAATCACACAGGATTAATAATGCCTTCCTTGTAGTTTTGGCATGAAGGCTAGAGGCCCCGCTGTGAGAAAATTCATCGCCAGAGGTGCGGTCATCATTGCGTCCACTTATTGGCTGAGACACGGTTAAGAGCACAGTCTGGGGACTCGCCACCAGGTTTCAAATCCCAGCCACTCGCCAGCCAGTGGGTCGACCTTGAGCGAGTCACTCAGCTCAAATCAAACCTCTCAGAGCCTCCTTTGTTCATCTTTAAAATTGGAGTAACGAGGGTACCTACCGCTTTGGCACGTCGCCAAGGCTTCAGCGAAATGCTCCCCTTCTAGCGCTGGACACCCGGCAGGCTCGCAATACATGGGAGCGAGTTTTTCTGCCAGGAGCTTTGGCAGGAGGGCTCTAAAAGGGAGGGGGAGGCAGGGCACAAGGCCGGGCGATTGGTGGGAGCATGCGCAACAAGAAGAGTCACGGAGTTAAAGTGGTCGTCGTTGGTGGCACTCAAAGGCACCTAAGTGTCCCAGTCCTCTGCCCACCGCGGCCACACACAGACTTTGAGCATAGCAGGAGGGACGTGGCCGGTGATAAGGGTGTGAACACAGTAACGAGGAACCTGCTGCGCAGCGATGGTGTCAGGGGCGCGGAAGGGGGCGGAACCAGGCTCTGAGTCCCCGAAAGTCTTCCGCGGTGACCCACCCTGAAAAGGGCCAGACTGTAACACTGTGCCGAGTTACTCTTCTGAGTGGCTCTGGCGGGGAGACCAGCCGCATGCCGATGGACGTAAGTGGCCGGCAGTGACCGAAACCCTCAATCTCTCCTCGAGAACTACGCGTCCAAAGTCCTGGGTCGCACGCCCGCGTTTCCTCGTTCCTCTGTCCCTTCTTGGACTTGCAGGTATGGGCGCACACGACCGCACACCAAAGGGCTCGCTGTGACAGGTGTGGTGGACAGCGTCGGATGGCGGTCTGTGTTGGTACAGCTCCAAGCTTGCGAGGCGCGGACCTTGGGTTGCCTTGGCCCACGCTGACTCCCCAGCGGAGGGGACAGGCTGGCTGGGGCCGGGGCCGCGGCCGGGCGCCAGCACCCCTGCGCTGAAATGCACCTTGGCCCCGCCCCACTCCGCCCTCCCTCCGCCTCATTGGCAGCCGCGTCGAGGGTTGCCAGGGCGACGGGTCGCTTAGCTGCGATTCAGCGCGAACTCCAGCCAGTCGGCTGGCGTAGGGAGCCGGGGAGGCCAGAGGGCGAGCGGCGGAACACCGCATCCGCCGGCGGGGCCCCAGGCGGGCGCCTCCTCTCAGCCCCGCACGGCCCCCCTCCCGGCGCAGGGGCAGGCCGGGGCGGGGGGCCCCGGAACCGAGGCGACCTTGGCCCCGTCGGGGTGACAGGGGGCGGCCAGGGCGGAGCGATGTCGGGCGGCGGCGGCAGCGGCCCCGGTCGGGGCCCGTGACCATGGGCATCGCCGAGTCCACGCTGGACGAGCTGCCGTCGGACGCCGAGGAGCAGCTGCGCCACGGCGAGCAGCAGCTAGAGCTGAGCGGGACGCGGCTGCGGCGGCTTCCCAGCGCCGTGTGTGCGCTGAGCCGCCTGGAGAAGCTGTACGTGAGCGGCACGGGTCTGCGCGAGCTGCCCGAGGAGATCGAGGAGCTGCGCGAGCTGCGCATCCTGGCGCTCGACTTCAACAAACTGGAGCGCCTGCCCGACGGCCTGTGTCGCCTGCCGCGCCTCACGCGCCTCTACCTGGGTGGCAACCGGCTGCTGGCGCTGCCCAACGACTTCGCGCAGCTGCAAAGCCTGCGCTGCCTCTGGATCGAGGGCAACTTCCTGCGGCGCTTCCCACGGCCGCTGCTGAGCCTGGTGGCGCTGCAGTCGCTGCAGATGGGCGACAACCGGTTGCGCTCCCTGCCCGCCGAACTACCGAGCATGACGGGCCTGCGCGGCCTCTGGCTCTACGGCAACCGCTTCGAGGTGTTCCCGCCCGCGCTGCTGCGCATGGGCCGCCTGCACATCCTCGACATGGACCGCAACCGCCTGGGTGGTTTCCCGGACCTGCACCCGCTGCGCGCCCTGAGAGTCTTCTCCTACGACCACAACCCGGTCACTGGGCCCCCGCGCGTCGCCGACACCGTCTTCCTTGTAGGCGAGGGCGCCGTCGAACGCATGGCCGAGCGGGACGAGCCCATACCCCGGCCGCCACCCCGACGCCCAGTGCGGGCCTTTGAGGATGAGGAGGAAGAAGACCTGCTTATAGGAGGCGGTGGCTCCCGGGCTCTGGGGCCCGCGGGGGACGGCCTCCGCGCCCTGGAAGCCTCTCCAGGACTGGGCACCTGAGCCTGCGTTCTGGGCGATGAACTGCGCCCACTCTGGGAAGGTCCGCGGGAGTGGTGGGCAGAAGGGCCGCTCGGGGGGAGTTGCAGGACCAGGCAGGCCTGGGGGCCATCTTCAGACATTCCTGGGCAGTGAGCAGACTGCCTCCTGACTGGTCTCTGGACAGTCGTCAGACCGGAAGTACGGGCTCCGGGGCTCCTTCCAGTCCCCGGTAGCTCCGTCTGTCCCAGGCAGCGCCACTGACAACACAATAGAGATGCCAGCTTCCTCTTGGAAAACCAGGGTAACGACTGTCTGTGGAATCATCACCTTGGCTGAGTCCGATGCCCAGGGGTGCCCACCAGCCTCCCTCCTCCTGGAGTCCGAATCTCCGGAGAGCTGCCCTTTCTGGGGCAGGAGCCTCCCTCGGCGCGGACCACATGCTTGTGTGAGACAGGACTTCTCCTGGAGGAGGGCCTGGCTCAGGGGCCCGGGCTCGGAGGAGCCAGTGCCCAGGGCAGAAGTGAGAAAATGGGATTGGGGCCTTTGCCTCTCCACTGGGGCTCATTGTACATACCTCCCTCCCCGGCCACCCCCCCAGATTTGTATGGGGAAGTGGGGGGACTCAGGAGGCAGCCTCTCCACCTCTGCCTTTTATTCAGTTCTCTCTCCCAGCTTGTGCCTGGAATCTTGCTGGGAGAAAGCTCTGCTTCCCTTCCCCCCGCCTGAGCCTTCCAGCTGTCAATTTTGAAAAGAAGCCACCGTGCCTGCAGGCCTCCTGCACCGGAGAGAGTGGCGCTCTGCTCTGGGAAGCTGCCTAGCGCCTCTCCCACTGCCTGCACTCTCCATTCCCTTAAATGGGCACAGTCAGGGTGGCTGGCACGGCGTGGGGCATGGGACGAGCACTGTGTGCCTCCACTCCAGTCACCAGGGACAGCCTCCAGTGGGTGAGGAGGGGGGCCTCACTGTGTAATTCCCAGGGCCAGATCTTTCCCATCCAAGCAATAATGGGAGGAGGGAGTCAGCGCTGGGGACACTCAGGGACACTGTCAGGGGCAGCGCCCCCCATAATAGTGTTTTCTTTAGTAAGGAAAAAAAAAACTGGCTGTAAACATAAATCACATTTCTTGGAGAAAGAATGTGCGTTTCCCCAATGCCTGTTTATTTATAAGCCCTGGGAGCACTGAGTCCCATTGCTGTGGGGACCCTGGGTGCTCTTTGGCACTGCCCTCTGTCCATGTGCCCCAGCTCTGCACTAGACTGGTCCAGCCAGCTGTTGCTGAGCAGGCTTTGGCTGCTCAAAGCTGGTCCCCATCCGCCTCTGAGCCCCCTAACTACACCCCTCTTAATCTTCTCCAGCTTCTCAGGTTCCTGACTCAGTATGTTTCAGAAGCTCCCTCAAGCTGGGCTGACCTTTCTCTCTTCCTTCACTGGTTCTGATCCCTCTCTCCGCACTGTGACTTTGCTCTTCCCTCTTTCCCTCTCCCTTCCTCTGCTTTCCTCTGCCTCTCCCTCTTAGTCTCTTCTTATACAGTTATGCGTATTATTTTCTCCCCTCCTTTTTCAGAAAAAAGAATATTAAAGATTTAAAGAGGGGAAAAAATTGTAAAGCCTCAAGGCCCATCTCCCATGAGATGCTCCGCCACCATCACCATGGCAACAGGGCTGATGTCATATGAGGCCCAAAGGTCAGGCCTGGCCCAGAAGCTCTGCTGACCGCTGGGCTGGGCCTAGATTAGGAGGAGGTTGGGGGCAGTCTGGAGCAGTCAGCTTGTGAGAGTGAAGGCTCTGAATGGACAGAAAGAGCTAGTGGGCGGGGGAGGCAGGGGGCTGCCCCTCAAGGAGGAAGAGGGGCCTGGGGCCACTGCAGACTTTGTCCCTCCCAGAGCTCCTCAGGTGCCTGCGTTCACCCTGTCGTAGCCCCATCAAGGAGTGAGTGGACCTTCATGGCATCTGGGAACTTAGAAGGGGGAGCTGAGATCTCAGATCGCACTGGTTGGGCAGGAGTGGCAGCCGACAAGAGTGTCCTCTGCCCTCGGGACTCAGGACTCGTGTCATGGCCTGGGGGAAGTGCCTTGGTCCTGACCTGGAGTAAGTCATGCCCCGCCCCCACCCCAGGCGCGGTGCCTCCACCTGCACACACAGAGTTGGGTTTGTTTAGATCCGAATCTGCAGCTCAGGATGACACGCAACCTGGGGTTTGTCTACCTTCCCCTCATACCAGTCTTGGATGTCAGGGAGAAGGATGTGGTGGCAGGGGGAGCCACGGTCACCCTGGAATAACTGTTGGCACTGTGAGCTGAGGTGTCTCTCCTTGCCGGTTGGTTTCCCTGAAACTCTTCCCCTGCTGCCTTCACGCGAGAGCTCCAGGTTGGGGCAAAGGCCCCGGGATTTGTCCGCCTGGGTCATCCTGAGGCCTGGTCCCGGTTTTGCTACTTGATTGCTCTCCACCACCAGGAGCTAGTTCCTCTTGGGAAGTTGAGAGTTAGCTTAGACTGGCTGCTGATGCCTGGCCAGGGAGTACTGCTGAGGGTCTCTGTCTCCGTGCGGAAGTGCGGAGAGCAGGGCAGGGAAATCACACCCCCCCTGGGTGATGAAAAGAGCACTGTGTTAGGAGCCCTAGTTCCCTCTCCTCTACACCTAACTGCCTGTGACTCACTTGGGCGAGCAGAGAGGAGGGGAGGCGATGTTGGGGGCATGTTTGTAGCAAGGCCATGCCTGCAGTTCCGAGAGCTGTCCGGGGTCTTTCAGTGGAGCGTGGGCCATGAGGGAGTTGGGCAGGAGAGACTTGGAAGAGCTGTGTTTGTGCCAGGCATGCAGGGCAGGGGCTAAGGGAGCCGGCATCTGAGCAGGGAGGCAGGCCATGGGGACCGGGAGGACAAGGGCAGAGGCTGCCGCAGAGCAAGCTGCCGGCCCCGGGAGGGAGTGACTCGCCCATAAATGGGTGTTAGGTTTCCTAACCCAGGGCTCAATCCTCTGTCCTTGGCTAGCGGTCAGGTCTGGGTGCGGAATGAGTGGTAGTTCTTAGTAACCTGCTCTTCCTCCCTCCTGGAGCCTCCCGACAGCCAGGCGGCCTGGCGGGCAGAGCAGTAGAAATGGGACAGGGCTGGATCCTTTTCTAGCTTTATTACCACTGCCTCCCTTTTCCTGCCCACCCTCAGGGGCTTGGGAAAGCAGAACAGGGTGCCTGGGAACTGGGGCCCCCGCCCAGAAGCACCCCCCTGTTTCCAGGGCCACCACCTGGGCTTGCTCAGCCATCTGTCCCAAAGCTTCCTTAAGACACCTGGGCACTCGTGTTCTGAGGATGGACATTTATTAGCACACCCAGGTGTGCCACACAGAACATGTATTCAGACAGGGATCCCTGCCCGCGGGGGGGCTCACAATCTAAACGAGACACAACACATACACACAGGACACAAACACAGGGAGTGGGGCATCTTCTAGGGACACAGATGGTCAGGGGAGCCACGGCTGGGGCATACAGCGTGTGCAGCGTTGTCCTTCTGGGTGTCTTTGAAGGGGAGAGAGGAGAGCACAGTGTGGCCCAGGATGGCCTTCCAGAAAGCAGTGGCATCCAGGAGGGACTTCAGGAGAAAGAGAACACCAGAGCGCAGTGGTTGCAGGCACAGGGAGGGAGGGGTGAATCAGTGTAGTCATGGATGGAGACACCTAACGAAGTACAGGCAGGAGAACGAGGCAGAAAGTCCAGGAGAAGGCCCTGGGCCCACGGCGACAGGCTGCCACCTCTGCTAGGCCCGGCTGTCCCTGTTGTCAGGCCCAGTTTTCCGGAGCCATTTTCCCAGACAAAGCTGGAACAGAGATTCTGGAAAGGGACACTCTGGGGGCTACTTACCTGACCCTCGGGCTCCCTCCGATCTCTGGGGCAGAGATCAGAAGACAAAAGAAATGACCACCTTTGAACTGCACGTTTACACTAGGTTCTCAGACATTGATGGGGCAGGAAGGCAGATGGGCAGCTTCAGGTGGGGGTACTTAGTGCTGCAGGTGGAGGCAGCTGCCGGCCGGGCCCTGGGAGCACCCCTCGCCACCCCTCACCCTCTCACTCGGGAGCCGGGCGGGAGCCAGCAGGTGGTCACATGACAGCAGAGGGCACTTGCTCCCGCTGTGCCTGCAAACGGAGGTAGCACCTTCCTTCTGAAGCACCCTGAGGGCTGCCAGGCCTTGCTTCCCCAGGTGAAGTGGGGGGGAGGTGGCCTGGGATGGTCATTATCTCTCTGTGGCCTGAGGCTAGAGGAAGGAAGTGGCTTTTCCAGGGGCCAGAGAGTCTGAAGAAGGACTCTGGGCCCAGTTCCTTCAGGCCTGGTCTGGCCATGGGCTCTTTGGAGTTGAAGAGACTTTTCCAATTCTAAGGGATTAAACCCAGAAAGGGTGCTGAGAAGCCACAGGTCGAGCCAATTGAGCGGGAACTCCCCAGGGACCAGGAAGGAGGAAACACTGATCTGAAACCACAGTGGCCCAGCCAGAGTTCAGGTGGTGATGGGGAAGGTGGAGGGTTCCCTCCCCCTTGGTTTGTCTGACCTTTCTTGGGGGGGGGGTGAGGGTCCCCTGGGAACTGGGGGAGGGGGTGTTGGACTGGGTGAGCCACAGGAGTACCCCTCAGACCTCACTAAGACTCCACTCCCAAAACACCTTGCTTCAGGCCTGGCCTGGGAGGTGTGGCTGCTCCCCTGCTTTCTGGGCAGCTGGTGGGTTTGTTATATTCTAGATCTGAGGACAGAACTGGAAGGGCCTCACCACCAGTGAAAACAAATCTCCAAGATGACAAGTGCAGGGGAGACTCGGCCCCGGGCTCCCCATCCCACTCACCCCACTGCCTCTTCCCCTGGGAGGTGAGGGAGGGCTGGGACCCACGGAGGAAACAGCCAAGGCCCTACTTTTCCACGATCCTTTATTAATTAGAACGGGCCTTGCCACAAAAAGCAGGGCCCATTCCCACAAAAATATGATTTTGCAAAGAGGAAATCTTGCTGGCTTAGAGGGTGATTGTGGTGGAAAATTTT